AATCGTCATAGGTGAAAGCACTCACGGTGGATTACTGTGCTTTTCTTTACCCTGGTACTGCTGTCTCAGATCCTCAGTGTAGATGCTGAGAGGCTTGAAGGGGTTGATGGACAGCAGCATATCACCAATATATGTCTGTTGGTTTTAATAAATCGTTTTAATAAAGTTAAAAAGACAACTGAATGTGAAAAAGGACACATTTGATTTTCTGGAAAAGGTTATGCGTACATAAATTGAATCCCGATGAAACCGCTTCTTCAAATTCAGCAGAACAGAACTCTCACACACCTCTCTGGAATAGGATGTGCAGTTTGGTTAAAGTTTTCATGTTTTGAAACAATTCAAACAAACTTAACACGCTATCTGATGTGCAAATTAATGTTTTGTTTATATAATTCACTTTTTACTAGTGTGGCTTTTCTTGCTTAGAAAGTCTACACAAGCAAGTGTACTTCGGCTGTTTGCTGCGATGACTCACTCCAGCTGTGCCAAATCTTCCACCTCATCCACCTCCACAGCTTGGCTGCTTCCTGGCATCATTACCTGAGACACAAAGTAAAGGAAACAGAGCAGAGCTGTCACTGAAAACCCCCAGTGGGCAGACATGCGAATAGCACCTACACTATTTCCCAGCTAGGACTTCCTGTTTTGAATCAAACAATAAACACTGTAGATGTCAATGAGGTTATTTGCATAATTACAAAAGAGTACAACGGCAATAATTGTGTAAATTATTCTGCATATGTCATACCTGTGTGCTGTTAAGTCTCTCCTCTAGCATATTTTGGGTCGGATCTTCAGATTCCCATGGGCCCCTGCCATTATGGACTGGAATGATTTGGGCATGTTCATCATCTTGATACACCGTCCATTTAGTAAGCTTTTCCACCGTTTGATGGGGCAGGAGGTTTTCCGAACGTAGCCAGTCTTGAGGATCACCACACATTTGTTGAGTCTGAGCCCAGTGTTGCTCCATAACGGAGGGCAAAAGACCCTCACCCATCAGTTCTGCCACTTCTCTGTCTGCATCCTCCTCATAAGAAGGTTGCATCACTCCATCCCTCCATGTCTCGGCTTCTGCTGATACATCTGAATTCCTTAGATTCCTCTCCACTTCTTTACTCTGTCCCGTACTTATACCATTAAGCAAAGGTTTAGACATAGACAACTTAGTGATGTTTACTTGCGATCCCCCAAGTTTTCCCTTGGCGACTTGTAGTATACTTGTACCATCTTTGATGACTGATATTGACTCTTTTTTGTCTGCTTTGACCTCAGACTGCCCCTCAATCACTTGAGAGTTTGGGCTGCCATTCTTATCACTTTTGCTCTCCTGAGCATTTTTCTTAATGGACTTTAGTAGGCTAAGGTCTGGCTTGACTGGAAGAACCAGACGAGCACCAGGCTTTGGTGGTTTACGCTCTGTTGTGCCTGTGCTGGTGCTAGTAGATGGAACGGTGGCTTCATTAACCTTGCTGATTTTGTTCATCCTTGGGAACACGATCGCATATTTAGCATCTCCTGAGTTGGCCTTTTCTTCTACGTCTTGTGGAGAGGAACAAGGTTCATCAGAAGAGTCACCCTGGGGATCAGCAGTAGTTTCCTCATCTGTCTTTTCCTTTGAGGTTGATACTTCCTTCTTTGATTTTCCACCACTTGCCATTTTCATAACCATCTTGTGTCGGCTAAGACTCTTCTTTGACTTGGTGCTGCTACTCCTCTTCTTAAGTACCAAGGCAGGGAGCCATTTTGAGATCCCAATCGCTTGGGTGACCGCTGATAATTTTCTCCGAACATGGATGCTCTTTGGCATCTTCTTTTGAATCCATCCTGAGACGCGCCGCAATGTCGTCATGCCTCTTTTCCGGGCTAATAAACGCTCTGTTGACTTTGAGGGTATTAATTCTTCAGGCTCAGGCTCAGTTGTGTCTGCCACTATTTTCTCACACGGATCTTGATTTGGCTCTTCGACAGCATCTTTGGTGTCTTTTGGAGGTTGCTCTTTGGCGTTCTTACTTTTATCATCTTTTCCTTTGCCTTTCATCGAAAACAGCATACGAGACTGTCTGTTCAACAAACCTTTGGGGCCTTTTGTTGGGGTTGCTGCCTGATCTTCCTCTGTCTTGCTCATTGCCTTTGTTTTACTTGCCAACTGTAGAATTTGAGACTTACCTTTAGTGGCGCCACCTTTGGAGAGAGCCATTCCTTTAATATGGACTCCTTTTGAGGGCACAGAATCATCTTTAGGCTCCTCTCCTCTAGAAGGCCCCTTCTTTTGTAGTATCTTAGATTTTAACATCTTTTTCTGGCCCTTGAGGTGAACTGTTAGGTTTAGCGGTCCTGGTTTCTTTGACGAACGGGCTGTCTCTCCCTGTGTGCTCTCTTGCCCTGTATCGCTCAGTACTCCCTCAGAGTCTACTTCTTCTGCACTGCTAACGGGTTCCTTCCCTTCATTGGTTCTGCTTTCCTCTCTCTCACTTTTCTTCTCTTCTTCTTCCTCCCCTTCTGTTTTTTTGCCTACATCTTCTTCTTCCTCCCCTTCTGTTTTTTTGCCTACATCCGACAGTTCTTCTTCATCACTTAATACACTTGCATCTGTCTCAGCGGTGTTCTCCACGCAATCTGACCCCTCCTTCTTATCATCCTTTCCTTCTTCATCACTCTCTTGTTCTGAGCTCTCTGCTTTCTCGCTCTCCGACTCGTCCTCTTCTGTATCTACTACTTTAGCACCTCTCTTTCTGGCTGTTTTGGCTGGATTTTTTTTCTGGTCAGGTTTTGATTTGACAGCTTTCCCAGCTCTCCCTCTACCTGTAATGCCATTGGTCACCTTAGCAGGTAAGGCTTTGCCATTTTGCTTTCTTGCTTTGGCTATTTGCCTAGAGGTCTCTATCTCTTCCTCTTGAGGTTCCTTGGATTGGTCACTCTTGCCAGTTTTCTTCTCCTCATCTTTTTTGTTCTTCCCTTTCCCAGCTATCTCTTCCGTCTTTACAAATTTACCACCTTTTCCTTTCCCACTTTCATTATTATTTGAGAGTATTTGAGATTCAGTCTTTCCTCCTTTTTTGGGGGGAACTGGTTCTTTTTTGTCTGTCTTTCCTGTCACCGCTTTCTGCTTCCCACCTCTAGCCCTAGAAGGGGATTTGGCTGGAGGCATGATTCTTAGTCAAAGTAACCTCACAGGTCCTGTTTCTGAATTTTTTCTCCAATGTCAGAACATTTCTTTGATGACCTAAGAATAATAAAACATTTTCAAAGATTAAAAGACCTCAAAAACATGTCTCAGGAAATTATTCAAACCTTAATGTCAATAAAAATGCTAATCCTTCTGTCTGACAAACTTTCACAAATTTTTAACCTTTGTGCAGTTCTAGTGAAACTGATGCATATCAGCAACCTAAACTACCATGGGTAGAGATCATATGTCATGTCTTTCAACTAAAGTGCAAGGTGTACCTGACCTAATGGTCACCATTAGGACTGGGTTTCAGGCATTTAGCTCATCACTCTCAATAATGCCGGTTGGATCAGAGATGGGACTTTAGATACAGACAGATCAAGCACCATTAAATTTGTACCATAAGAGGTTTAACATAATACACACAAGTACTCAAATACCATCTAAGTTCAACATGTTTTTTTTTCAGAACAAATTCGAACATATTTACAAAAAAAGTAATGCAGTCTTGCATTAGTGTAACACCGAATAACTCACCCGTCTTCTCAGGTACATATGAAGCATTGAGGAGGTCTAGAGAGTATTTCTGCTAGTCCCAATCACTCCATGGATTGATCCTGTGACCGGACTCAAACACCTACACAGTCTCTCTGACACAAACACACATACACACAAGCATGCAAAAACATTCTAGGGCTCTAGTGAATAATTTATTTGACGGCACACCATATAGTTATGCACCCATTCTTATGGGCAGCTGCTGAACAGACGGTGGAAAGGAGAGAGGCTTCACTGCAGGGGTGACAAAAGGTGTTGATACGTGAGAGTAGGAGAAAGATACTGACAGATGCTCACATGCTTACATTCCTTCCACAACTTTTTTTAAGAAAAGTCTGTTATTGTATTCTTTCTCCATCACAAATAGGTCTATATTAGAATGTAAAAAAAAAGTGACAAAAAACATAAAAAAAACTTTTATAGTTATTAAATTGGTCAGCATGTAATTATTTTTTAGGTAGTTATCATTATTAAATATTTAAGTTTTAAATTAAGTAAAATTACTCAACAGTGGTGGTCTATTTATTTATTTTTTTCCCAAATATGTTAAAAAATAAAAATCAGGCCACAAAAAATAAATGTGGTAATCTTTTATATATTTTTTTGCCCTGTCCTTAAATCATTTTGGTCTTTGTTACTAATATTGTTGCCATAATAGGGAACTATATACACAAGTATTATTACCTTACAGTTGTTTTCAATCATTTGAATCTCATACATATTCAGAAGCTACTATAGACCATGCTATTATAAGAGCTCTGTTTTTATTTATTTTATTTTATTTATTTATTTTTACATTCTCTTGCTTGTGCTGTGTGACACAATTGTGGAAACGGCTATTCTCTAGGATTCTTTAAGAGATGGTGTCCAATATCAGGCAAACATTTGAGCTACTGCGATTATAGGGAACAAAGCATCTCTCAATAATAGATGATCAAAACTCTTGGCTGAGTGTGTATGACAACTGATCTGACCAGAGGGAGATTTCTTTTCAAATGTTTTCAAAGGCTACAACCCTCTTATAAGCAGCCATAAATTGACTAGACAGACATAGTTATGGTTCACTTAAAAAAAAAAAGATAACGAGTCATGTCATGAGTTATGTTCACATGTTCATAATTCTTTCGCCCCTTCACACTTGAAAAGAGATTAATTCAATTACAAAATAAAAGAATTTGAATGAACGTGAACACGAACCAACTTAATCACTGATATCATTTTTATACCAAAAACAGAATTTAACATTTAATTATTAATATATACACAGTGTTTTATTGTTCTTTATTGTTTACAATAATTGCCCAATATGCCAAGTAATATTTAGGCCCATTTCAAACTTATCATGCAATCGGAAACATAAAAACAAAGTCAGCATATTGGGCAATTATTGTAATGCATATGGCTGCACATTACATTCTCATTTTATTCATATCAGTACTAATTATAAGTATTACATAAAAATATATACATAGACACAACTTTGCTATTACATTTCTAAATTGTAAAAGCTCACTTTTTTTATTTAGTCTTAAGCTAAAAAGGTCTCATTGTTTCTATTATGAAACTTAACCAGAGTTAAGGGTTTTACACCTTTCACTTGTTTGTAAAACACTTCGAGCCACTACTTGTATGAAGATGCTCTATAAAATGTATGTATTAATGTCCCCTGAGCTACAAATATTGAGTTGATCAAATTTCCCAGTCCCCAGTGAATGAGTTAAAGGGTTAGTTCACCCAAAAATGAAAATTCTGTCATTAATTACTCACCCTCATGTCGTTTCAAACCCGTAAGACCTTCGTTCATCTTCGGAACACAAATTTAAGATATTTTTGATGGAATCTGAGAGCTGTCTGACCCTCCCATAGACAGCAATACAACGGAAATGTTCAAGTCCAAGTCCAGAGACGTAGCAAGGAGATCGGTAAAATAATCCATGTGACATCAGGGGTTCAACCATAATATTACGAAGCTACGAGAATACTTTTTGTGCGCAAAAGAAAAAAAAACTTTATTCAACAATTCGTCTCCTCCGCATCACCCTGTAGCGCCATTTTGGAGAATATCCGCTGGACGTAAACAGCGTATGCTGTTATGTGTCAGCTGCGTCACGCCGGATCCGTTTCCTACATTGTTGTGATTTGATCTGAACGGAAACAGCGTATTCGTGTGACGCAGCTGACACAGAACAGCATATGCGGTTTACATCCAGCGGATATTCTCCAAAATGGCGCTACAGGGTGATGCGGAGGAGACGAATTGTTGAATAAAGTCGTTTTTTTTTTCTTTTGTGCACAAAAATTATTCTTGTAGCTTTGTAAAATTACGGTTGAACCCCTGATGTCACATGGATTATTTTACAGATGTCCTTGCTACGTTTCTGGACTTGGGAACGTTTCAGTTGTATTGCCGTCTATGCAGGGTCAGACCACTCTTAGATTCCATCAAAAATATCTTAATTTGTATTCCGAAGATGAACGAAGGTCTTACGGGTTTGAAACGACATGAGGGTGAGTAATTAATGACAGAATTTTCATTTTTGGGTGAACTAACCCTTTAACTGACAAGTACAGCATTCTAGGTGTTAACTCTATAGACCCCAAATTCCCTCGGATTTCTTTCAGCTCTGTGTAACAATATTCATACTGTTACCGTTTTACATACACTTTGCCTGTCATATATTTTAACAATACTCGTTTTTACACTTTTGCCCAACCTACATCACATCAATCGGTCCATATCAATATTCCTTCGTCTTAAAAAGACATTACTCCTCAGCTGTTATTACTCTGGAATACACAATTTACATTTCAATGTGGAGGAAAACTGCATAATGAGGTGTCTACAAATTTAGATTAAGTGTAAAAACATTATGATGACAGTGTAATTTTAAGACATTTTTAGTATTTAAGCAAATCGAACTAGTGGACTTGAACAAAATGCACATTTCAAATTATTTCTACTTTCAATAGATAGAGCAAAATGTCCTGCCTGTTCATATACTGCACTGATCTATACGCACACCATCTAAGAACCTCTCAGAATTCCCTAAACTGAAACGGAATGAGAATATTCTTCAAAAATGAAGAAAAAGACAGTTTGTGTGAAAAAGTTTTACTGAGAAGACTGTAGTGTGATTGTTACAAAGCATAATAATTAGTGTTCTCATACATAATCATGTTTCTACAAAAATATATTCTAGACCTCCCCCTCCCCCAAAGAAAATGCTAAAAGCATTTCAGGAGACAGTACCAAAATATTTCCTTAGATCAGAAAATACAGCCCTCCATAAAAGAAACCCAGCATCAAAACAGGTACAGATTTTCATATACACATATATTAAAACATTTGACTACAATATTTTAAAATTACATTCCTAAATTACATAATTCATTATTGGCATAATAAAAATGTTTTACATTAAAAAAAACAACAACAGAAAATAAAAACCTAGCCCCTCAGAAAGCTGTACACCCTAGAAACTACAGCATATATACTACACAGTAGTGTACAAGTACCTATAAGAACTTATCTAGCCACTGTTCTCATTGGTGTGGACGGGGAAAGGCAATACTACTTGTTGTAGAATACCAAGTAGGGTTTTAGATGTGGATGGGGTTTATTAGCAACTGTATATTAGCATCTAGTGCTAATGTTGCCTTGTCGTCCTACCCTAATTCATCAGCAACAGCTAATGGCGTCTTTATCTAGGTATTATACACCATCTATGCAAATTCTGAGGTCCTCAGACTGGTATAAAAGAAAAATCATGCATTTAAAATTAAGTTAAAAACAAAATTGTCTCAATTGCCAGTCTTTCAAATGCCACTGCTTTTGCTCAGGTTGCCGCAGTGAATCGCACAGACGCTGGTGGTGTGAATAGGGGTTGGTCAGCATGTAATGGATTAGGTGGAGATACAGTGTTTGGTCTTAGCAGGCACAGGTGGTGGTCCCTCGCGCTCCTCTCTCTGGGTGTAGAAGCTCTTGAGTGGGAGGTTTCTCTCTCCAGGGCAAGGCTTTCTCGTGGTTCAGTAGTGGTACTAGCAGTAGTGTTCAGATCGTAAGCAAGTTTGGAATGAAGAGCGCATCCACAATCATTCAGGCACTGGGAATTAAAGGCTCAGTCTGTGGACACAGCAGAAAAAAGAAGCACAATGAACATGAAGCTCAAAAGTTATATAATAGCTTATAAACGCATCATGGTTGAATTAGACCTGTCATGAATATGACATTTTGGCTGACAATTAAATTAAATATTAGAAGTAATTATGACATGTCATGTGACAATTACAAGTGTAGTAGGCAAAATAATTTATTCACTTTGAACCTGAATAAATTCCTCATACATCTATGTACAGGGAAGAATACTGTTAACAACACTGTAAATATCAACAATAAAAAGAAAAAAATAATATAATAAAAAAATA